CGCTTAGTCCTGCATAACATATTCATTTCACCGGAGCATCGAGTCTAATTACCAAGTCATCTGGATTTAGCCATGGCTATAACAACCTAAAATACTGGGATATTGTTAATTTTAAATCACTTTGTAATCATTTCGGAAGAGCTTTGAAAATATTTTTTATTATTTTACCCTTTTTAACAAAAGTAACCACGTATTTCTTGTATACTTGTAAGAACAGTTGTTAACGGGGGAAAAGCCTAGTTCTCAATAAAAGACAATTGCTCTCGCAAGTGTTATATTTTGGAGCTGAAACGTTAAGAAATTACAAGTTGAAACCCACCCCTCTTGAAATTTCAGAAAAGTAAGAAAACATCTTGCTTTCCAAACTACGAAACAATTTGGGTTAAAGGATTTACACAGAGGCGAAGCAGTGGAAGAAGGCCTTAGTAAAAAAACAGTGGAAATAGGCCTGGAATTAGTAATACGTTAACAATGTCGGTTTTGAGCCGGCGACCTGGGAATTTAAAGTCTCGCCAACTGGCATCTGCTGTACCACAGGCTCTTTAAATTTAATAAACAATAGCTACCAATGATGCATAACCAATAGCTACCAATGATGCAGCTAAATATGTTAATAAATTGCCAATTTTATGCAGCAAAAAACGCCACCAAATATAAACACAGAGGCGAAGCTTATCTTTACACCACTTGCGATACAAAAATGAATGGCTGTGATTTAAATCAAGTGAACAGAAAAATCAAAAATTGCAAAAAAGTTTAAAAAAAGATTCCGAACAAAATTACCTGCACCAATAGAAATTTTACATAGAGTTTTTGGAAAGCTGAAAGGAAGTCAAACTTTCAAAAAAGTAGTTCTGCGGGAACTAAGCAGGCAAAAATAAGCATACAGACAAAAATATTAAAATAGCTGAAAATTCTCAGTTTGCAAAAAAAAACATATTCCGACTGGAATTGAACTCCTGCGCTTTGGCCTCAAGCATGGTTGTTAAAGAAACTTAGAAAAAAGCTGAAACTTCAAAAAAACATGCTAGGTGAATTAAGCCGACACAAATAAGCAGACGGTTGATGGTCCCAAAAAGCACTAAGTTAGCAAAAAAAAATAGGTCCCGGTCGGATTTAACCAAGCCTTTGCCGTCTCAAGCAAGTAAATAACCTCTGCGCCAGCTGGTTGATTGAATTTATAATTTAAACAGAGGCGAAGCGGAGCTTCACATCACTTGCGATACAGAATGCATGACTTTGATTACCAGTAAATAAAAAGACAAATCAAAAATTGAAAAACGCATCGTGTTTTTGGTCAAAAAGTTATTAAAATTGCATAAAAGGACAAAAAATTCCTGAAACAAAATTACCAGCAACATAAGAAACCTAACAAAGAGCTTTCAAAATGCCAAAAACAAATCGACCTTTCTGCGGGACCTAAGCCGACAAAATTAGCAGACACGAAAGTCTAGAATATTTGAAAATTTTCAGTTTCGACAAAAAACAGGTCCCGACTGAAATCGAAGTTCTGAGACTTGTCTTTTCAAGCATGGTTGTTACCATTGCATTATTGCCACAGAAGACTTATTGAAATTAATAATGAAAAAATTTCTAAAATTTCTAATGAACAGCATGAAAAAAATCATAAAATAGCAAAAAAAACATATAAGCACAACTTCATGGAACTCAATTACTTGCCCAAAACTTGAATACCAATTTTGCTTAAATTTGCGCTTTTCTTACTCGAATTAAAAACTGAAAAGGTTTTTAATTCGAGTAAAAAATGCACATATTTATGCAAAATTGGTGCTGCGGTAACTAAGTCGACAAAAAAGCAGACAAACAGAAGTCCGACAAAGATTTTTGACGCACGGAATATTTCTGGCTTACAAAAAAAAACAGGTCCTGGCCGGATCGAACCATTGAGCCTTGCTTTTATAGGCAGGTACGTTACCCCTTAGCCACAAGCAGGAACTAACGTCTAACTTACCATGTCATATTAACCAAAGATCAAAAGATTGTTTCTGTTTTACTAGTTGTTAACCCGAAAAAGTCTATATTCCGGTTTGGTAACGCTTACGAATCGCAATCGTAATAATAAATGAGGTATATGAGAATTCAGGATCCAGAAGGCGAGTGATGTAACTAAGTGTAGAACCCGATTGAACACCCTTGCTTATCCAATCAAGGGTATTGCAATTATCTAAGTCTACAACCATTAGATAGGGAACCTCACTTTCGTCCAACTGTGCCACGTTTGCTTACAGATCGGCAAACACTAACCACAAAAACAGTGGGGAACAGATGCTATAGAACTTCCACTGTTACAGACTGCGATTATAGCAAAAGTGCCACTAAATGAGCACTATTGTTTGCGAAAAACAGTAGAATCATACTAATACACTACACTGGCTAGTAATAAGATAGCCTGAAATCACACAATCAAAAAAAGAAAGTTATTCAAAATCAGAATTGAAGAAATTTCAAATTACATTAAAACTTCAATTATATAAAAAAAGCCGAAGTCAGAAGATGTCTATGACTTGCCAAGTAGGCCGATTAAAAACTGTACCGGGTATTTTATTCTGCAACTGAAGAAAAACGGAAAATAAGCTGTCAAAATTTAGGACGAAAACCTCTTATTCGAAACTTCTAAATTGATTCGAAATATTAATTACTACTTCATATGAGCATCGGTAGTTTTACTTGAATTTTCGATAAATTGAGTTTGTCAGCTTGCTCGCGACTTTGTACGTATTTCTTCCGAATTAGTAGGAAAGTTGTTAACAGGAGAAAAATCTAGTTCCCGGTAACAAGACACTTGCTCCGCGAGAGTAACTAGAAACAATTAAGAAAAAGAACTGTAAACAGAGAGGCAAAGCGGAGCTTCGCACCCCTTGCGATACAACGCAAGTGCAGCCTACCGAATAGAAAATGATACAAAAATCAACACAGAGGCTAAGCTGAACTTCGCCCCACTCGCGCTAAACACACAAAAAAGTCGAAAAAATGGAAAACGTTGAAAAAATGTTCTATCAAAAACTTAATTCGTATGTCTCGATAGGAGTTCACTCTAGGCTAATTTCACTCTAAGACAGAAACTTAAGTATTAAATTAACAACGGAACAAAACTTACGAAGAGGAAACAAAGCCGACGATCTTTGAGCAGACACAAGTTGAGCAGACAATTATGATTTCATAAATTTTTTTTACAAATTTAAGTCCCACCGGAGACTAGAATGAACTACACTTGCACTTTCAATTACACGTGTAAGAAAAGTTGTTTACTGGAAAAAGTCTTGTTCCCGATTTCAAGACACCAACTCTCGCAGTGTAATATTACCTAATTTTTTCAAACCGGATTTTTGCACTCAAAACAACGCAATATAAGTTCAGTATGCCATAAAACAGGCCCAAACCGTTTTTCCGAAAATATATATTCATATATAAAAATTATTAAAAATCAGCCTTGTGAAAATGACAAGTTACAAACTTTCAGTTTAAACTTCTCAATCAAAACAAAATCCATGCTTAACAAAAAACCGAAAAAAAAACAGTATAAAAAACAAATTTGATTTTTAAAAAAACGAGAAATAAACCGACCGAAACTAGGCCGAACACCACGAATCCGAAAAAAATACCATTCCTATACATTTGACCATTCGGTGCCTTAAGCCTTACGGGAAAAAGGCTAGTACCCGATTGCAATACCTTTGCTGCTTGCAAGGGTAAAAAATATGGAAAAACATAAGAAAAACACCACAAGAATTAAATAAGCTTTTGATATTTACCGATCGGCCGCTTAGCTGGCAAAAACTGGTCAGATGCTCATTTAGCCGAAAATAAAACATGCCTGAAAAAGTTGTTGCTTTTAGATTTTTAAACTTTGAAAATTTGCAACAAAAGCTACCTGAAAATTTTGAAATAAAGATCAATCACTTTTTCCTTCGCAAAATAAGATATTTCAGCCCATAAAAAATAAGCTGAAACCATCTAGGCCAAACAAAACTTTTGATTGGAAAAAAAAACGAAAATGGAAAGCAATGAAACAACTCAATGTCAGGGCTATTAATTTTACAAACTACAGGTATATCACTTGCATCGACGATGAAAATTTTGCAACACAGCTACCTGAATTTTTCGATTAAAAAATCAATCAATTTTTCAATCAAAGCGACACAAAAGAAGGTATCTCAGCCGATAAACCATGAGCGGGAACTATCTAGGCCGAACAAGATTTTAAAGTGAAAAAAAATGAATATAGCCAATCAAAGATTGAAAAAGAGTAATTAACGCAAGTAAACATGAAAAAAACACTGTATTTAATGAAAAAATCTCAACTTTCGGATTTCAAAGAAAAAATAGATGCCAACAGGTAAAGTTTTTATTTTAAAAATTTTTCCTGAAAAAAAAACAAAAAAATGAGCAAGTTCTATATAAGAGTCTTCACCACGTTCATTACTCTTAAAAACAGAGGGAAAAGATACAATGACAGGGTTATCAATTTTATAAGTTACAGGAGTATATCAAAAACACTCACATCTACGAGGAAAATTGCTCACAGCACAAGAAAATTTTCCGACAAGGCAATTAAGCCGACCAAACATAAGCAGACATACGAAAGCATAAATATTCAATTTTTCCCTGAGAACAAAATTCAATTTCATATGTACTGACAAAACTAGGTTCGGCCGGACTCGAACCCTGAAACTGAGGGTACAGATGCGGCCACGGTACCTCGAGACCAAGTCGGAAGCCATCTCTAAGTTGCTTAGGTTCACTAATAAAAAAGTCTAGTTCGCAATTACAAATAATCAAATAATAAACGAAAATTTTAGAACATCTTCCAAATTATATACAATCATTTGACCTAAATACCAACGTCATGATGGCTATCCTGTGTGTGTTTTTTTACACATTCGGCATAATAAATTCTGAGACAAGACGTCAGTATAAAAGTTGTATTTTGTTTGCATACACCTCAACCCTTGTCAAACATCGATAGGTAAATGTTGAAAAAACGGATTTGAAAAATTGAATTAGGACTAATCTTTGTTCTCAATTCTAGTTGAAAAGCTCGATCAAACCGAAGAATTTCTGTTGCAATCACTGCTTCTTAATCACACGTCACAGCTCAAACGGCATGTTACAATTGCTGTTTCCTGCTTCTTGCTGCCATGCAAAAACTGCTTCAAACCCTTTCATTTGCATCAACCCACCTACTAACAATCTCTTTCAACCATTGTTGCTACTTGAATTACATCTTGATTCACCTTAATGATCGCTCGTACTTTAACGGTTGACTGCTGGCATTTGAAATGCATTTAAAAATTAGAGGAATCCGGCCAATTTTGTCTAAAGTGTTTTTTAATGGGTTTGAAACGTTTTCGTGAGATGGAAATAGTATTAGTTAACTTTCAGTAAACGCCTCTAAGCATGTATAAAAATTGAGCTCGAATTGAAATTGAAAGCACTCTGAACGAAAATGAGTTGCTCATTTTCTCTTCGATTTTGGGTCCAATGTGCAAAATAAAATTCGGCAGATTTGCTTCGTGAAGGTAATAACTTTCCGTCTTTTTTTTGAAAAAAAAAATCAAATAGCAAGTAGGAAAGGTATTATTAAGATCTCTCAATTAAAGCGAACGCCGACAATTTAAATTGAAAGCATTCAATAAATCGACAAAAATTTGACAATAAAATTTGTAGCATCTCGAAATAACGAAAAAGACGATACCAAGAAACATCAGCATTATCACTATTATCATCACAAAACGCGCTCCAATTCAGCATTAAATTATTTATTTATAAAGAATTATTAACGGAAGGGGTTTTAGGAGAGGGATTCTACTGGACTTGGTTGACACCTACGCTATTCTTGCTATTGACGCCTACGCCTGAAGATACTGACGTCGATCTTCGCTGTCTAATTTCATAATAAGCTAAAATTGCCCGGCATACGAACGAGAACTGAGCCCAGTTTTGAATAAGTTGGGGACGGTAGGCGCGCATTTCCTTCAGAATCTGGACCAGTGGTAGTGGTTCATTCAAGTCAATCAGTTTGAAACTAGCTTCTGTCAGAATGACCACTCCAGTTCTGCCGATTCCGGCACTGCAGTGCACCAATATGTTCTCCGCCGGGTTGCTTTTTCTAAACTCTCGGATTCTTTGGATGAATTTCAAGAAGTTTCCAGTGCCTTGCGGAACCCCGTGATCTGGCCAGTCGTGAAACTGGCACTGTATTACATCGCGCACTACGGTGGATTCGCGACCTTTCCTGAGAGTCAAATTGCGAGTTGTGAAACCTTCGTCGTTTTGCTGTTCCGATGTGCAGTCGATGATGAACTCATTACCGCCCGTCGGTGTTGGGTTATTTATTTCGGGCCAGTACTTTGCACACTTCCTGATGTCCCTTTCTTTCAGTGCCGTTACCATGATGACATGTGAAATCTTTTGGTCATAAATCATCCTCCAGAAGTCTTCCACTGTGTGGTCCAGTGGTCCCTGTGCAGCTATGTACTTCAAGCAACTTCCATCTGGGATTTGGACCTTGACAAAATTAGCATTGATGTAGTCATTTTCGGATACCAAGGAAACCCGCGTATCATCGTAAGGCCAAACGTCGTTATACCGATTCCGAGGTGGATTCCGCTCCGCAAATTTGAATGTCGCAGAGACCTTTTTCTTTTCTAAATTATGAAACGCATTGGCAAGATTGCTTTGTAAGTGCAATTGACTTTTCAGTTCGTTTATGCTAGTTTCCAGTGGGGTTTGTGATGAAGTTTCATCAGGAACTTGGGTCAATACAGTAAGCTGGAGGCTAGAAAATTGCGCTCCTGTTTCTCGGATTAAGTTGGTTATTTCAGCACTAGACAACTTTTGTGCATTTTTATTGAAAATTTCAAGAATCTCGTCACCTTCATTTAGAGGCGGGTCGCATTTTCTCGCCGCTCCAGAGGGATCAATTTTGGTGATGATTACCCTTTTACCGTCACCTCCATCAAAAGAGAACCCAAACTTTCCTCGGTCGTTCGGAACAACTTCTAAATTTTGCCGTCTGAAATGGGGAGGATTCGCTGAAAAATTAGGGTCAAGGTAAGCTAAAGTCGCAACGTGCATGTCTTGAGAGGATTTACTCTCTGTTGCTGCACTGGGGTCCTCGGATGTCTGACCACCCATTGCAGAGCTCGCTGTTTTCGTGTTGCTGAAGTTAGTGGTCGATGGAGGCTGACCGTTAGAAAGAAAGTCGTTCGATGACCTTCCAATAGTCTGACCTCCAGTCGTTGATTCTGATGATCGTTTAGGTAGTTGTTTATCTCTGTCTAGGGGCGGAGTACCAACTGGTGAAGCACCTTGTGCGCTACGGTACAGTGAGTGATGGTCGACACAAGTATGCCAGAATTCTTTGGCAGTGCGATAGTGGTTAAGACTAAAAGTCAAAGTTTCAGGTTCAGCATTTCGACTCTGATTTGTTTCCTCATTGTAAATTTCGATGGTGAAAAGCTCATTTTTGAACGCCAGTTTTAAAATCTCCTGCCATCGAAGGTTGCGCACAATCTTTTCCTTTTGGAAAATAGATATATTTTCCATAGATACACCAATTTCGATTGCGGAGGAATCTGAAATTTGAGATCCCTGGTAAAATTGGTACCCAAATCTGTCAATTTTGCTCACAGCTTCTAAAAACACATCTTTGGCTATTTCGTCCAGGCTGCGTTTTGCAGCTCCAGGTTTCTCGCTCAGAAGTTTCGGCAAATTTCGATATATTTCTAGGCTCTTCTGAACAAACGAGGGGTATTTAGCGAAGGTGTCCGGGTGAAACGAAGACTTCAAGTATTTGGCGTAGACTCCTTGCTCAGCTTCAATTTGAGAAAACCTTCCATTGCAGATGAAGAGCATGTAAGCACCAATTTCGGAGACAGAATCCGCTTTTGCGTTCACCTGTGGTCTTAATGATCCATCTTTCAGCATTGCAGTCAACTGCGAAATGTACAAACGACGTGTAAACCCGTCAATCTTTTTATGCGGCTCAAGCTCAAAGAATCTAATTTTGAAATTGAACGTAACCGAAGTAACATGAGGAGGTATTTGGAGTTTTAAAGGCTTATTAAGATCGAGCCATTTACGATGCTCTACTATATTGTCTGCAAATTCAAGGCCAAACACATTTACAGGGAATTCACCGTTCACCAGCAGCACTCGAGTTACTTGTTCATACAATTCTGCTCCCTTAGCAACTCTCGGGACATCAACCTGCGACGTATCGTTACTGTGGTAAAATCGTATTGTGCAATTCACAACAGAAGCTTGCATCTAAGAAACTGGTAACAAGACTACTGTTTTCAACTTTTTTCTACATCAGGCGAGGCATCTGCTTCTGTTGTTAGTACCGTACATATCAGCTTTAATAAGACATCTGAAATTTTAAGCAATCTTTAAACAACCCTTTGTTTTAAGAACAATTACACTTGACAACTATGCTAGCTGGCATTTTTATAACTTAAACAATGTTTCAGCAATTTTTTTTGAGAAATGTGAGTGCGCAAACATCGAAACTAACTCACTAGAAGCAAGAGAAAATTCAAAATAAAAAGTTCGATTGTTTTCGCCATAACTAGCATCATCAGGTATGTACAACCCAAATTCAAAGAGGCAAGGTTTTTTGGCAGACCGATTATTTTAAGCAGAACAGTTGGATGTAAAATTTTGAAACCCTACGGCGTTGAGCCAATTCTCAATTAAAGTCTCTCCTACAAGGAGACGTAATTTAAAAATTTTTTTGCCTTGTTTTAGTGGAGAAATCTTTTTAGTTGGAAAATCTTTCTATATTTTACCATGTTAGAATTGAAATGGTCTACATTGTAGCGGCTAGCTCCCTCTACCACAGCCTGGAACAACTTGGCAACCCGGAAAAAGAACAATTTCTGCCCAAAATTTTTGATATTCCGGGACTTTCTTTAAACCCGAACACCACGAACCCACAGAAGAACCTCGGAAGCCTACTGTCCAGGGTACCTCTTGCAAAAAAAACGTCAAGAGGGTGTGTGGCACGACATCATCAATCATTCTATCATCAGCCACCGCACAAACAATTACAGAGCTTGCTCTGCAGAGGAATTGACAGAAATCCTGAAAACATTGACAAATATCGGTGCAATTGTATACTGTCAGAGAAACGGTACACCGGATATCAAGAACCAGCTGATCAGCACGGGTATTCTTGTCATTCCTAATAAAAAGTGTCTCATTTCAAAGAGGAAGAGAAGAACGGAGCTGGTCAACGAGTATCAGGCACTACACCAGGACGTACAGCTGGAGCTAAAGTCTTTGCAGATTGTGCTCGAACACCAAGACAACCTGCCAGCTGTCTTGTCCAAGCTTCATTCAAACACAAAAAAGAAATCTCGATCGAGAAAGAGGCGGAGAAAAGAAGACTGGTGAACATAGGCGAGGAAACTGTTGGTCCGACTGACGAGGACGCTTCAACGGAGAGGGTGAGTTAAATTTGTGTTGTTTGAGTTGCTTTGTGTCACGTGAGGTTTATTCCTCGTGGCCTACAGAAGAACCCACAGAAAAACGTCAAGAGGTGGTGTGGCACGACATCATCAATCATTCTATCATCTTCCTCGTGGCCTACAGAAGAACTTAGCAACCCGGAAAAAGAACAATTTCTGCCCAAAATTTTGGATATTCCGGGACTTTCTTTAAACCCGAACACCACGAACCCACAGAAGAACCTCGCAAGCCTACTGTGCAGGGTACCTCTTGCAGAAAAACGTCAAGAGGTAGTGTGGCACGACATCATCAATCATTCTATCATCAGCCACCGCACAAACAAATACAGAGCTTGCTCTGCAGAGGAATTGACAGAAATCCTGAAAACATTGACAAATATCGGTGCAATTGTATACTGTCAGAGAAACGGTACACCGGATATCAAGAACCAGCTGATCAGCACGGGTATTCTTGTCATTCCTATTAAAAAGTGTCTCATTTCAAAGAGGAAGAGAAGAACGGAGCTGGTCAACGAGTATCAGGCACTGCACGAGGACGTACAGCTGGAGCTAAAGTCTTTGCAGATTGTGCTCGAACGCCAAGACAACCTGCCAGCTGTCTTGTCCAAGCTTCATTCAAACACAAAAAAGAAATCTCGATCGAGAAAGAGGCGGAGAAAAGAAGACTGGTGAACATAGGCGAGGAAACTGTTGGTCCGACTGACGAGGACGCTTCAACGGAGAGGGTGAGTTAAATTTGTGTTGTTTGAGTTGCTTTGTGTCACGTGAGGTTTATTCCTCGTGGCCTGTAAACCAATGAGCACAGTTGTACTCCCACCTCCAATCTTGATTTGGACTTTGAAAAACAAACTCATTTGGAAATTAGTCCGTGATTATGCGTCCATATAGGTTAAATTTATCAACTGTCAACAACGTGTTAAATTTTTGAGAATTTGTCTAGAAAACGACATTATACCTAATTTTGTGAGGTTCAGGTTACCGGAAAATGGGGTGTTTTCGAACCAAGCGGTACACAGTTTTCAGACAAAACTTCTAAGAAAGGAGATAAATAAGGCAAGGACAGATGAGAAAAACGTTGAAGTCAAACTAGAAAAGGCGAGAGGCGCAGTACAGAGGGGTGTAGATGTGTAACATTCGCCCAAATACTACACAGCGACGGAACGTAGAAAAAGTACCTATTAACGACTGGCAGGCGTCAGTTACCTTAATTCTACTCGTTTTTCACCGTCTCGACCTTGCCAGTTGGTTTTCTGGTCTGTTTAGGGCTAATTAAAAAGTTACTATTTTTAGGCCATCAGTCAAACGACTTTTGATCAGCTTTCGTTTACATGCGAACACAACCACATAGCTGAGTCTCGGATCCTCAGACTACGTGATTGCCATTAAAAACACGGCTCGAACAACCTATTTTAATATGTTTTTGTGTGACAGTTCTATATCAAATCCATTGGAGATGGATTGACCTTTTCCTCTTTCTAGCTTCTCATATTCTAAAATATCAAATTATACCGGTGTTAATTCAGACTTCTACGACATCCAAGTAGCTACAAAATTAGTTTTATATAGTCCCTTCACATAAAACAGTCTCTGGGGGACCAAGCCTCCGCTCCCGTAATCTTCCTGAGATAACGTTCTTATCTCTTCCAATTTGTGGCACGGGAGGGTTCCGTGGAATATTCCTTCCCCACTGAAGCTTCCTTATCCACCAATTTCCACTGCTCAGAGTCTTATCGTGTGTTGTTGCCACGATAAGAGGCTTCGTGTTCTTCGTTTCTTGTGCGACTGTTTTCCACAATATTTGTCGTTGTTCTTTTTTTTCGTCGTTTTGCGTCAAATTGGCCGTCTTTTTTGTATTTCTGAGAAATATCCACAATTCAATCGAAAATTTAAAAATAAGAATTCTAGAATATTCCTACCCTCCTTCGCAATACTTTTTCGTTAATAAGGCCTTTATTCGTTTTTTCTCGTGTCGCCGGAAGGTTGCGCTGTGCCTATCTGGCAGAATGGCACATACTCCCCGGACAAGTCCCCATCAATGTCCCTATTGATCGCATAACACCGGTTTATCGTCAAGTAGTGTTCCAGTTCTCTATAATCAATCTTACAAATCGCATAAGAAAATGAAATTTATCTACTCCACCTCAACTCACTACGTGTTCACAAATGGCATCGTACTACATTTCACTGCCTTTCAACATTTTCACAAAATTTGCACCATGAGGAGTGTCCTAGATAAAATGTCTTTTCTGACTACTTACGTCGTCTTGCCATAAAACTTCTTTTCGCTCTTTGTGATTAAAAAGTTGGGACGTGGCACGGCCACGCACCCGTTAAAATTAACTTAACATTACTCACCAAGTATAATCAGTTATTTATGCAGTCCTTTCAATATTAAAACTAAGAAACTCTGTGGCTAGGAAAGTTATTGAGTTACTCACCCTTCTCGAGCGAGTTTACTCAAACTTACCATGTCGCCACACAGTGAAATAGTGTCTTACACAGGTTAAAAACTTCAGTCGTGTTTAAATAGGTAAATATACTCACCTATGTTCTATACATATACATAAGTAGCATAACTAAAAACTTCTTTCAACAATTTCAACAATTGCAACAATTTTCAAAGTCTGGTCTGACCAAACTTAAACAAGTTAAACTTGTTAAACAAAAAGTTTAACAAGTTCAATAATCAAAAACTTGGTTGATTGGTTCAAGTTTTAACACACAAAGACAATTAAGTTTTTTCTCCTTTTCTTCTCTTCTTTGCTCACGTCTTCACTTGTTCTCTTCGTTCATAATCTTCACTCCATCGCTTCTCCATCCTGATCTTCAACTTCGCTGTCTTCTAGGACTTTCTCCAGCATGTCCATGGAGTTGCGGGCCGTGCCCCAACTCTCCTGTTCCAACAGCCTCGGTTTGCAACAAGGTAGCAAGTCAACATTAACCTTTTGCTCCCGGTTCCTGCAAAAGCTGTTGTGAAGACACAGGCTCACGTTTCGTTCTAGGTCAGCTCTTAAGACCTCTTTCTTCTCATCTTCAGTTACACAAGGCGCTCCAGCTACTCGCTTCACCGCCGTGGTGACCGCGTTTCTGTGCGTCAGGAATGCTCTCTTATAGGCTCCTGGTCCTATATCTAGCTGGAAAGATTGATAGGCTTCCGTGTTCCTCGACATGTGACGCTTCGCGCGTTCATACATCCATGATGTCATCACTGCACGGAACCAAGGCATCAATCTTTGCCTTGACCATATTCTTTCAATGGCTTTGGGTATTCTCAGAACCTTGCAGGTGATTCTGAAAAGATCCAATTCACGACTCATCTTCACGTTGCTCAGCTGCTCAGGAGTCGGCACGGCCGTCTCCTGTTCACTTGTGTCCGCGTTAGCCTCCAGCCATCTCACCGCCAGCTTGGCACTAACCACCATGATTGACACTTGTTGATTCTGATCGGGCAACCCCGTAGAGTACAACTCCTCCACGTCCCATACTAGCATCAGATTCCCGCGTTTGGGGTACCACAACGTCTGCGCCAAGCAGTGGCAAGGATACTCCCCATGGGTTCTCACTATGTTCCTTCGGGTCCGATACCCTGAGGCTCCCAGCAACGGTTCCACCTCCATCAGAATTCTGTGTAAGTCGTCTTTCTCTTCTATGGTGGGGAATTCAGTGGGTAACGCTCCACTCGCTTTCTGCTTCTGAAACTCACTCACATTGCCTTCGTTTAATCTCAGAAACTCTTCACCCACTACGTCTTGCAACTCGCCTTCAGATCTCTTCTTCGGGACTGCCCGAAAGATCTTCGCCAATAAATCATATGACCTCTCCGACATTCTGGCCACTCTTACGCACTTTGGCACAGAGAAAAGTTGGTCAATCAACACCTGCTCTGTCCTCGCATCGATAACCACCATGT